TCCCGACTTAGGGCCAGGCCGCGCCCGCGGCAGGAGGCGGCGGCGAGCCCACACGCGGCGTGGCAGCGGCGCACGGGCGCGGAGGCGCCTGCGCCTGCCGCCGGGGCGGCGGCGACGCCCAAGCGGAGCTCACGAGCGGCGAACAAGCTCGCCCCTCCTCCTCCTCCTGCTCCTGCTCCTGCTCCTCCTCCTCCTCCTCCTCCTCCTTCACCTGCTCCTCTTCCACCTCAAACTACTTCACCTCCTTCTCCTCCACCTCATCCTCATCCGCCTCCTCCTCCTTCACCTCCTCCCCCTCCTCCCTTCCCCCTCCTCCTCCTTCCCTTCATTCCTCCTCCTCCTCCTCCTCCTCCTCCCCCTTCTCTCGGGCCGGACGAAAGGGGGGGATGGGACCGGGCCGGACGAACTGGGGTACGGGAAGAATGGGTACAATGCCCAACAGCAGTTCCTGTTCGTTCTGAACGCTCGCTGATCGCGCCGCCGCCGCCTGTGTCCATTCGAGACAGGAGGCCGCCCGCCCAACAGCGGCCGCTGTTGGTTTGGGACAACATTTGTTGTTGGGCATTGTGCCATTTTTTTCCGTACCCATTTGGGGCGTCCAAATACGAGGAGGAAACGTTACCGACACCAGTACCCCGTCGCCTCGTGTTCGTCGTTCGTTGCCAACGCCTGGGAGACCATTCGTTGCCAAGCCCTGGGTTCGCCTCGAAGTTCTAGTCAGAACGCACCCCGGGAGAGGCCTTGGGAGTAGCAGTATCGGTACCTTTCGGTCTTCCCAGAACATATCCCTATCAGCACCCGTGCCGACCGGAGGCGACCTCGCAGCCGGCGTTCACGTGGAACGCCACCGGCTACCGAGAATCGGTCGATGTGGAACGATCTGACGTTCCGGAAACGGCCGATCGGTTCGAGATTGAAGGATCCCCGCGGTGCCAGGAGTCAACGCCGAGGTCGGCACGGAACGACGCTGCCGTGTCCGTATCCGCGCCCCCGCGGTCCCCGCAGGCCCTGGCGTCGGAGATCTTTTTCACGGCGGGCGTTTTCCCGCCCAGTTTCGGGCCTGGGGGCCCTCACAGATCGATCTGGCTCGAGAGATGACGCAGAAAGATGGGGTCCAGGGCTCCAGTGGTGATGTTGTCGGATGGTGCCTTCTTTTGCAGCTTCGGATCTGACGGTCCGCATTCCGGGGCGCGATCCCGCGGATACGCAGTCGCACCGATGCGTTCCGCGCGGGGCATGCACGAGAAAGCGGCCCGTATCCGCGGGGTCGCAGCCCAGGGGCCCAGCCCACGAGGCCGCTGATATGGATATGGCTTTCTCCCCCGAGGAGCGCCGAGGGCGGCGCGGACGAGGCCGACGAGGCCGACGAGGGCTCCCGGCCTGGGGGTCCACTTCGATGCGATCTCGATCGGGCTCTGTGCCAATTGTGGCCTCGCCCTCGTTCGATGCCCTTCGCTTTCGACGTTCGGGCCACCTGGCGCGGCCCGCCGCGGTGCCGACGAGGCTCGACCCCGAGCGCTCGCCGATTCTCGGCCCGGTGCCCCGATGCGATGGTGACTGATCCTGCCAGGCGGGCGAGGCCGACGAGGCGGAAGGCTCGCGGCCGAGGACTGAGGAACAGAAGAGTAGGGCGTCGCGTAAAAGGGGGGGCCCTCAAACGGTGCGGTGACCACACCCGTGCGGTGGGTCGGTGGGGGTCCGGGGTCACCGCACGGCTTTGGGAGTCGGGTCGTTCTCCGAGGACGTTTCGGGCGGCAGGGGCCTCCAGGGTCCCAAGGCCGTGCGGTGACGGACCGTGCGGTGAGGTCTTTGGGGGTTCCGAGGTCACTGCGCGGTCTGTCACCGCACGGTCTCGGGATTCCAAAGGAATGGGGGGGGGCGGCGACCACATGTGGAGCCAGCGAGGGCCCCTTTGTGTCCAAAGGGGCCCTCGAGGGCCCGTGACAGGGGCCCTCTTGTGGCCCAAAAGGGGGCCTTCAGGGCCCGAGGGCTGCACCTCCTCCCCCCATCATCCGTCGCCCCCCCCCCCCCATTGAGCGACGCCCAGATCAAAGTGCACGAGCTGACGACAGGAGGAGGAGGAGGAGGAGGAGGAGGAGAGGGAGGAGGAGGAGGAGGAGGAGGAGGAGGCAGGAGGAGGAGGAGGAGGATGGACGGAGGCAGGAGGAGGAGGAGGAGAAGAGGGAAGAGGAGGAGGAGGAGGAGGAGGAGGAGGAGGAGGGAAAAGGAAGGGGAAGGAAGAAGTAGAAGGGAGGGAGGAGGAGAAGGGGGAGGAGGAGGAGGAGGAGGAGGAAAAGGAGGAGGAGGAGGAAAAGGAGGAGGAGGAGGAGGAGAATCGGAGGTGGACAGACCTCCTACCCTGACACGTCGAGTAATTAGCGAACTGGTCGTTTTCGGTTCGCGAGAGGGCGTCGCGGCCGTCGTTCTTGCGGTTCCAGGTCCGCCGGTTTCGGTCCTGGGCCGTTTTCGCGAAAGGCAGGCTTACTAGAGAGAGGTTTGTCCACCGCCGAACATTGGGACCCATGCCAAGCAATACCCTGCTTGCCTCTTGGGTGCCCTGGGTTTCTAGGGTTCCGATGGTTTTGCGATGGAAGGCGTGACGTCCCACACCAGAAATCAATTGGCGTCCTGGGGTCTCAGGGTTGGGTTTTCTGTGGAAGGTTTCTTCTGGAGGTCGAGACCACATTGTAAAAGAGCCCTTAACACTAATTAGTACCGCAATGAAGACGCAACCTAGCTTACAGTGGAAGCGCGCATCGAGAATCCGACTGCTTTCCTGGGTTTCTCTTCGCTCCGCGCGCTGCGCGGTGACTTCCCGCTGCCGTCAAAAGGAGCTGCTGCGTTCAGGGTAAGCTGCACCTCGCGAGCGTGTTTCCAGGGTTGGGGCAAGGGGGGGCGTTTGCGAGCGTCTCTCGCGACCGCGCCCGCACTGCAGGTCCCCGTCTCTGCATCACGGATCGTCGATCTGGATTGCCTGGCCTGGTACATCCGCGGACAAAAAAGCTCCCGTACGTATCCCGGGTATGGTGGACCTCGGAACGCAGGTCCGCTCCCAAGGGGCCATGGGGCCCCCTGAAGCAATGCAACATCACACAGTGCACCACCTGATCCAGACCCCATATTTATGCACGGCACTTTTCGACGTTGCAGGAGCAATGCACTCGGCATCGCTCGGACGTGTGCATTGTTTCTTCGGCGAGGGCCATCGAGGAGCATCCTCGATCAGTTCGCGAAAGAACCAGGCACGACACCGAAAAAAGCACAGGGAATGGACGTCCGAGCGATGGCGAGTGCAACATCACACAACGCACCACCCGCTCCCGACCCCATCTTTCTGCGCGGCACATTTTTCGAGCTGGCTCGATCGGCGAGGGTTCTCCGGGGCCCAGAACACGATCGACGACGCCCGTCGTAACATAACATGCAACGCCCGGATCTCGGGGCACGCCGTCTCCCCAGCACCCGACGTCGTGTTCTGTTTCGCGTCGTCGGCCCCCCCAGGTCGTCGACCCCTCCCCCTGGACCGGTTTCTCCTCCCGAGCCCTTCTGGTGAACGCTCCGAGGGACCCCGCGAGGGCCCCCCGGAGGCCGAGGATGGCGAAGCACCTCCCGTCGCGATGCTTTCCTTGGCATCGCTCGGGCGTGTGCATTTTGTTCTCGGCGAGAAGCGTCGAGGACCATCCTGGCCCGTCGAGCCAACAAAACTCAGCCACGCGCAGAGGGGGGTGGGGGGAGGGGGGAGGGCTTCTTATAAGCACCCCTGCTTCTTAGAAGGCGCGGGCTTTGTCTATAGATGTGAGGCCTGCGCCTTCTAAGCAGCGGCCTCCTTCTAAGAAGCCTTTCCCCCTCCCTCCACCCCCCCTGTGCGCGCCGCCAAAAACACACACAGCAATCCGAACAATGCGCGGGAATTGGACGTCCGAGCGACGGCAAGTTCTACAGCGCGAGGGGGTTCTTTGCTCCTCCTCCTCCTCTTCCTCCTCTTCCTCCTCCTCCTACTCCTCCTCCCCTTGAGGAGGAGGGGGGAGGAGGAGGAGGAGGAGCGAGGAGGAGGAGGAGGAAGAGGTAGGGAGGGGAGGAGGGAGGAGGAGGAGGAGGAGGAGGAGGGGAGGAGGAGGGAGGAGGAGGAGGAGGAGGAGGAGGAGGAGGAGGGGGAGGGGGAGGAGGAGGGGGAGGAGGAAGGAGGAGGAGGAGGCGGAGGAGAGGAGGAGGAGGAGGAGGAGGAGGAGGAGGAGGGGGAGGAGGGGGAGGAGGAGGAGGAGGGGGAGGAGGAGGGGGAGGGGGAGGAGGGGCGGTGGTGGTGGTGTTGCGCCCTCCCTCGAGGAAGGAGGCGAGGACGGAGGCCGCCCTGCGCGACGACTCCCAGGGGGGCTCGCGGAGGCGGCCGCCGGCGACGCCCTGCTCCGCGGGCAGCCCGCCGGGCGCCTCGTCGTCGGCGGCCGAGCACGGCGACGGGGCGGAGGCCGGCGGGACCCTTTATAGATCTTTCAACAACTTTTGATCTACAAAAAAAACAGTACAGCTTGCTCTGGTCTAAGGTTCGCTTCTCTTCTATTATTTTTTCAAGGTACTGGTTACTCTGATTTACTACAAACCTATCGTTTAAACTTAAATTACATTTAAAGCAGTACAAAGAAGGGTACTCTTTTACGAAAAATCGATCTATATTATCAAGAATATAGGTGTTAACGTAGGAGTCGTGGCTTTTAGAGTATGTCGGAGGTCGGAGCGCTGCCGGGGGGAGGCCGCGGCTATTTCGGGGGTGGACAGACCTCCTGCCCTGGCACGTCGATTCTTGAGGAGTCGGCCGTGTTCGGTTCGCGAGGGGGCGGCGCGGCCGTCATGCTTGCGGGAGTCCAGGTCCGTCGGTTTCGGTCCCAGGCCGTGTTCACTACGGAGAGGTTTACTAAAGGGAGGTTTGTCCACTGCCGTCTATTGCGGTCCCCGCCAACGGGGATGGCCGAGGGGGGGTCCAGGCATCCGACATCCAGCTTCTCGAAGCATCGAGGCCGGGATTCTCCGTAGGTTGTTCGGGGGCCCTCCCCAGGCTCCAGGACCATGAAAAACACGACTCGTATTGAACATCTGCTCCCAGGAAGAGGGTCGGGACTTCGGGGATCGCGTATTCGAGAAAACCACGGGCGTCGCATGCCTAGGAGGGGGGGGGGGCGGCTGGTCATCTCACGTTTCGCGGCGGCGCTGCCTGGGAATGCGGAGGGATGTCTATATGTCTATTGTGGAGGCCCTGCGGCGGGTGCCGCCGACCCTAAATAGGCGGGAGCTCCCTCGGGACCCCCACTGGCGCCCCCTCCCGGGACCCGCCGGGGCCCTGGTGGTGGCAGCCCAGACCCCCGACGCCGTGATTTTTTTTTCGCTTCGTCGACCCCCCGAGGTCCCGACCCTTTCCTCGGGAGCAGACGTTCATCCCGAGTCATTCTTTGATGACGAACGGACAACACGCACCCATACCCACAGGGGGGTCGTTGGGAGGAGGACTGACTATGGGTATGGGTGCGGATTGTCGGACCCTGGGGAACGCTCCCGTTCGAGCGGGGACCCCCATCCGACAACACGCACACATAGCCCTCTCCGATCCCCCTATGGGTATGGGTGTGTGTTGTTGGTTCATAGTTTGACGCTCCCGAGACCCGGCGAGGGCCTTCGGAGGCCGAAGATGGTGAGATACCTCCCGCCGCGACTTTTTCACAGCGCGAGGGGACGTCTGGGAGTTCTCTGGCCCGGGGCCGCCCTCCCCTTCCTCGGGCGGGTCCTCCCTCGCGACACCCCCCATGTGACCCCCTCCTCCTCCTCCTCCTCCTCCTCCTCCTCCTCCTCCTCCTCCTCCTCCTCCTCCTCCTTCCTCCTGCCTGCTCCTGCGCCTCCTCCTCCTCCCCTCCTCCTCCTGCTCCCTCCTTTCTCCGGCTAATCAGGCTCCTCTCCTATTCCTCCTCTCCTCCTCCTCCGGCTTCCCTCTTTCCTCATCATCCCTACCCCTTCTCATCCCAATCCCCCTCCACGTTTTTCTCCCCCCATGGGGGGGTGGGGGGGCGCGCCCCGAGGGCCCCCCCCATGGGGCTCTCGAGTGGCGCGAGGATTTGGGGACCACTTGGGCCAGCACCTCACAGCTCTCTCGGCGTCGCTCGGACCTGTGCAGACGGTCTCGGCGAGAACTGTCGAGGACCGTCTCGGGCCAGCTTTCCAAGTGCGTGCACGCACGAGGCCGGGGCATGCGCAGGGAAGGGACGTGCGAGCGATGGGATTCTAGCGACGCCCGAAGAAGGTTGCCAAGATGCGGGTCAGCCCCTCGTCGAGCCCGCACTCGATGAGGCTCAACGAGCGGCCCGAGTTCTGCCAGATCTGCTGCAACGACGTCCCCGCGCGCCACGCCGTCACGCTGGGCTGCGACCACGGCTGGTACTGCTCCCTGTGCATGGTCTGCTGGACTCGTTTTCCACCACCACCACCACCAGACAAAAAGGTGGAGGGGAGGTGGAGGGGGGGGTGTCCTCCTCTTTCTCCTCCTCCCTCCTTCCTCCCTCCTCCTCTCCTTCCCTCCTCCTCCTCCTCCTCCTCCTCCTCCTCTTCCTTCTCTTCTTCCTCCTCCTTATCCCAATCCTCATCCTCCAACCTCCTTCCCATCCTAATCCTCATCCTCATCCTCATCCTCATCCTCATCCTCATCTTCCTCCCTTTCCTCCTCCTCCTCCTCCCTCCTCCTCCTCCTCCTCCTCCTCCTCCTCCTCCTCCACCTCCTTCCCCCTCCAAGTGACGGTGGTGGTGGTGGAAGACGGGCCCACCAAAAGGTCCGGCACACGGAGGCGCGCCTCTCCGTGGGCGCGGCCAGCGTGACCTGCCCGCAGTGCCTGGCCCCGCTGGCGGAGCGGGACCTGAGGAGCCGGCGGCGGGCCCCGCCGGGGGGGGGGGGGGGGGCGCGAGAGGGGCGGGGGCCCCCAAATGGGGCGGTGACCACACTCAGAGCCCCGAATCATCAGGGGTAACTCGGGTCAGGGCTAACTCGGGTTCGTTGTTCGGGATTCCGAACCCGACTTACCCCGGACCCGAGTTACCCCGGATAATTCGGGCGTCCAGAGCCCCGAATCATCAGGGGTAACTCGGGTCAGGGCTAACTCGGGTTGGTTTTGTCAAGAGTCCGAACCCCAGTTACCCCGGACCCGAGTTACCCCGGATAACTCGGGCGCCCAACACACCGTGCGGTGGGTCGGCGGGGACTCGGGGCCTCGGGCGCCCAACACACCGTGCGGTGGGTCGGCGGGGACTCGGGGCCGCCGCACGGTCTTGGGGCTCGGGCCGTTCTCCGTCATAGTGGCTCTTTCTTTGGAGACGAAAAGGGGCGCGCGCCGAAATCCATTCCAGACGAAATTGAGGATTTTCTTAGAGTTTCAGTGTGCAGACGCGCCCTGCCGCGCGGTGGTTCCCAGGCGCACCTTAAAGCGCGCTGACGCATAATGCGGGGCATTCATATTGCACGTTGCGCATGCTATCGCGTGCAAATCACGCATGGCTTGAGCTACTTCGCAGACGATTTCTGGCGAGGCCCTTCGAGGGCCCTCTCAGGGCCCGCCGGGGTCGCTGAGTGCCGCGAGCTTCCGGCAGCCATTGTCGACAGTTGGCAAAAGCAACGTCGCCGAAATGGTCGCCGAAAGAGCCGTCGAAAGGGCCGCCGAGATTGCCGCCGAAGGGGCCGCCGAAAGAGCCGTCGGAAAGCCCGCCGGAATTGCCGCCGAAATTGCCGCCGAAATTGCCGCCGAAATCGCCGCTGAAATTGCCGCCGAAATTGCCGCCGAAATTGCCGCCGAAATTGCCGCCGAAATTCCAGATGGTTCCGCCGAAAAGAGGCCGAATTTGACCACGGCTGTGACTCTATGCCTCTGTTTGTGGCGTCATCGCGCTTCCTGGAACAGCGATTTTGCTTGCGACGGGGCAATGAAAATGTCGGCGGCTGAATTTCGGCGGCTCAATTCCGGCGGCTATTTTGGCGGAGTTCGCAATTATTTCGGCGGCAATTTCGGCGGTGAGTTCGGCGGCAAGTTCGGCGGCAAGTTCGGCGGCAATTTCGGCGGCAATTTCGGCGGCGATTTCGGCGGCAATTTCGGCGGCAATTTCGGCGGCGATTTCGGCGACGATTTCGGCGGCCCTTTTCGGCGGCCCTCCTGACGGCCCTTTCAAGGACCATTTCGGCGGTTTTGCTTTCCGACAGCTGTCGACGAATGCTGCTGGGAGCTCGCATCACTCAGCTGCGGCAAAGAGTCGATGTGCGGCGACGCAGACTGACCTGACCTCAGCCCGACGATGACTGTAAGAGTTGTTATCTTGTGGTTTTGGCGGCGATGATGGCGACGGCCGCGGTAATGTTTGGTTCAACATGGATGCTCGTCAGGGGGCATTGCAGGCTGGCCTACGCGCCCAGTACTGCATGCTTTCAAACAAGAAAAAATTGCCGCGCAACTCCTTCGGAATTCGGCGGCTATTTGTGGGGCCATGGTGGCTCCAAAGGGTTGTCCTCGGTGACGAGGGCGTCTCGGGCGATTGGGGGGCCTCCGAGGTCCCAGGGCCGTGCGGTGACGTACCGTGCGGTGAGACCTGGGGGGATCTCGAGGTCACCGCACGGTCCGTCACCGCACCGTTTCGGGACTCCCAAGGGGCGGGGCCAGCCTCGGGAGGCGCCGCCGAAGGCCTCCGGCCTCCAGCCTCCAGCCCGGAGTCGGGCCTGTCCCTCTGCAGGAGGAAGATTCAAAGACAGTGAAAAACAGTCTGGGGACGATTTTTTCACGACTTTTGCCAATCTTTTTTTTGTTTTTTTTTTTTTGGTATTTTCAAATGTTTGGTCGGAAGACCCGCTGTGGGGGGACGCCCGACTTGACTCCAGCCCGCCGAGGGGCCTTCCTCTGGGCCTGCAGCTGGGCGCCACGGGAGGGCGCCTCGGAGGGCCGGGGGGCTGCCGATCGAGCCCCCCCGCCGGTGCCGGAGAGGCCGGGGGCTCCCCTCGATAATTAGCTGCCCCCGCGGGGCCGCGCCGCCGAGAGGAGGATGGTGCCGGGCGAGCTGCTGGAGCGGTTGCTGGCGCGGAGAGCTCGCCTGTGAAGCAAAGGGGTCCCGAGAGGAACGGGCCCTCAGCGGTTTTGCTCGCCGCGTTCGGGCTCGGGGGGGTCCCTCCCATTGGACGAGCTCGGGGGTGGATAGACCTCCTACCCTGACACGTCGATTCAGGAATTGGCCGTTTCCTGTTCGCGAGAGGGCGTCGCAGCCGTCATTTTTGCGGGTCCAGGTCCGTCGGTTTCGGTCCTAGGCCGTTTTCACTAAAGGGAGGTTTACTGAAGGGAGGTTTGTCCACTGCCGACGAGCGGATCTTCCAACACCGCTACCATAGGTAACAGAGGGTGGCGTCGGAGGAGGAGCAGGAGGAGGAGGAGGAGGAGGAGGAGGAGGAGGAGGACCTCTCCATCCTCCTTCTTCCCCCGTCCTACATATGGTAGTTCGGATGCAACTCCTCGGAGGTAGAATTCGGACTTTGCCCTGGTCCAACATCAAGCTTAATCCAGATTACTCCGGCTTAATCCGGCTTGATCCCGCTTAATCCGATTTGCTCCCGCTTACAGGCGGTCTAATCCGTCGCAGCAGCCAACCCATGGGGCCCATTCCTCCTGAATCTTTTTGGTGAAGACCTCCCAGTAGTTGCCTCCTAATGGTAGCGGTGGCGGGAAGATCGACCCACCGCCCTCCCCCGGGCCTCGCAGGGCAAGAGCGCGACACCACCGCCACCATCACCCAGTAGCGCCCCCTCCAGCGAAAGGAGATCTTCCTCTCCGAGCTGGGGAGATCGGGGCGTCTCGAGCGGGGCGCGGGGGCCACACACGCAGTGGTGGGACCCCCCCCCTGGCGCCTCGCGGTGGTCGTGGTGGTGGTGGTGGTGTCGCGTCTCCTTGTTCCCAGTCTCCTCCTCCCTGCTCCTCCCCCCTCCTCCCTCCTCCCTCGTCCTCCTCCTCCTCATCTTCCTCCTCATCCTCATCCTCATCCTCATCCTCATCCTCTCTCCTCCTCCTCCCTCCTCCTCCCTCCTCCTCCTCCTCCTCCTCCTCCTCCTCCTCCTCCTCCTCGGCCTCCTTCTCCTTCTCCGCTGGCGCCCCCTGGCGCCATGCGGTGGTGGTGGAGGTGGTGGTGGTGGTGGTGGTGTCGCTTGTCCTCGTTCCCGGGGCCGTCCAAAGCTTGCTCGGGAACAGGTGATGGTCCCAGGGGAATGCCCCGTTTCTCTTGGAGCCCGTTTGCTTCGTGCCCAGGAGCTTGGAGCAGGCCGTCTCGTCGGTGGCCGATCTCTGGGCGTGCCCGACGCCGAACTGCCCGATGCGGGTCGCGCTGGAGGAGGGGGAGGAACCGCGGCTGAAGTGCACGGAGTGCAAAAAGTCCTCGTGCCTCCGCTGCGGCGCGCAGCCGTGGCACAAGGGGCTCACGTGCCAGGAGCACGCCGAGAAGATGCGCGCTCGCAACAAGAAGGCCAGGAAGGACGAGGCCCTGCTGCAGCAATGGATAGCGGAGACTGGCACCAAGCAGTGCCCGACGTGCCGGATGGGGGTGACGAAGCAGAACATACGGAACCAGCAGACGCAGTACTCGGAGTGTCACAAGATGCTCTGCCGCAACTGCAACACGAAGTTCTGCTTCAAGTGCCTCGCCGTGCTGACGGACAGTTACACGTGCGGCTGCACGATCGACGCCCACGGCTTCATCGACCCGCGCACCGGCAAGCGCATGAACCACCTGAAGGCGGCGCGCGCGAGGGCCAAGCCGGTCGGCAAGGCGGCCGCGAAGTGCAAGGCGAAGGGCTGAGCCGGGGCCGAGGAGCGGGCCAGGCGAAAAGGGGGGGCGTCTGCGCTCGGCCCCCGCCGCCGGGCGCCTCTCCTCGCCACAGTGTGAAGTCCGGCATGCCCCTTCACAGGCGGAATGTTCGAACACAGTGGAAACCAGAGCGTGAATTACCTGCCCCGCTTTCGCTTCCAGGCAAAATCGAGTCATACCACGCGCCTCCTCGTCAAGCGGCCTGACCAGTACAGGCCGTAGTTTAGTTTGGCATCGCTTGGTATCTTTTGGAAGCGAGGGTGGTCAAAAGCGAGGTAGGTTTGTTTCCCCCCTAGGAAAATAGTTCAGGGACGATGATTCGATTTCTTTTTTGATGTACGATTCGAACATATATTTGTCCAGAATCCGCCTGTGTAGACGACATGCCCGACCTAGAACGGTACACTGGCGCCTCCTGGCGCCGGGGGGGGGGGGCAGGGGACAGGCGCAGGGGGGTGCGCGTCGGGGGTCCCAACATCGTGTGGTGACGGGCCGCGCGGCGACCTCGAGATCCCAAGGGACCTCCTCGCGCGGTCCGTCACCGCACGGTACTGGGATCTCGGGGGCCCCGGTCCCCGGAGACGTGCACGGAGATCGTCGGCCCGAGTCCCCACACGGTACGGTGACCCCGATTCCCTGCTGACTCACCACGTGGTGTGGTTCCGTTTGGCAGCCCCCGAACGTGAGTTGACTCGCGAACTCCAATTCTCAAAGAAGAAAAACGCCGCAAACAGAAACTTCTGGCGTTCCGCGCGGATTTCTTGGATCCATGCCTGGGCCCCCCAGCGGCGCCTCCGGCGCCGCCGCTGGCGCGTTCCGCGCGCCAGGGGGGGGTCCCAGCGCGAATTCAAGAAATCCGCGCGGCGCGCCCAAAGTTCATGTTTACAGTGGGGGCGCGGCGCGTATCAAGAAACCATATGCTTTTCGTCAGGGTATCCTCGGTTTCTCTGCTCCTCGCGCTGCGCGGCGACTTCCCGCGGCCGTTGAAGGAGCTGCTGCGCTCAGGGTGCTCCAGGTTTCCCCTCCGGTGCACCTCGCGCGCGCGGGTTCTCAGGGTTGGGTTTCTTGCGAGCGTTTCTTGCGGCCGCGCCCGCACTGTATGGCGTTTTTCCTCCTTCACGTCTCGTCCCACCCCCCGAGGAGGCGTTCCGCCCCTGAGCGCGGGCAAGCTGCGACAGGCACCCCGGCGCGCCCCGACGGCCGGCGCGGGCCCCTCGGCAAGGATTCGTTTGCCCATCTCGGAGGCGACGATCGGGGCGCCCAGGGCAGGCCAGCCACAACTGGAGGAGCTGTGGTCCTTACCCCCCTGGGGGACCTATCGATTCCGACACCCCTCTCCAGAGATCGTCGATGCGATGGGTTCCCCCAGGGGGGTAAGGACCACAGCTCCCCCAGTTATGGCTGGTCGGCAGGGGGGTCAGTAGTACACCAGGGAAAAACCCCAATCAGTGGATGGTTTTATCGGTTAAGGAGATCGACCGGAGACCCGCACCAATCACCAGAAGCCGGGGAACCGGGGCCCGGGAACCTGGGCTCCCAGCCGGCCACCAGAATCGGCGGGACACTTTCACCTTGTCTTTCAATTTCCGCTAGGATTCCTGCAGTGCAAGCACTGATTAGGGAAGTGCATGTATCCAAGGGCTCCGATGATCCATGTCTTCGGCCAGGCTCCCCTGACAAGTACGTCCAATACCCTCCCCTCGGCGATGTGCCCCTATCGTCGCCGTCGCCTCCGACTATCTGAGTCGGCGACTGCCCGTTTGCTTACGCGGGCGGACTGTACAGTAGCGCGAGGAGGAGGAGGAGGAGGACGAGTAGGATCAGAGGAGGAGGAGGATGAGGAGGTACCGATACCGCTGCTTGTCCTTGAGATCGTCTGTCGCAACAGCTGGGTTCTCTAGAAAATCTTTGTGGAGGAGAAAGGAGGAGGGGGGCGTGAGATGGGAGGAGAGCGAAAGGTCGTCAAGGGAAGACAGTCCGAGCTCCGGATGCACACGAGGTCTGGCACGGGAGGCGGTGGATGGGATGAGAGTGAAGGGTGGCGAGAGAGGATGTACGTATGATGCTTGGCATGGGAGGCGGAGAAGAAGGAGGAGGAGGAGGAGGATGTGGAGCATGATGAGGAGGAGGAGGGAGAGGACGACGAGGAGGAGGTGGAGGAGATGGAGGAGGAGGGGGACGCGGAGATGGAGGAGGAGGAAGAGGAGGAGGAGGAGGTGGAGGAGGAGGAGAGCGAAGGGTCGGTAAGGGAGGATGGACATGGACCAAGCTGCAGCAGCCCAAGACTGCTGCTCCAGTCGCCGCCGGACCTAATTCGTGGCCGCCTGCTCCGCCGGTGTGCGGGCCGGGGTCCCTGCCTCAGGCGTGCCCGCCTCGTGGGGCGTCGTATTGATGTCGCTTGCCCTTCCTTGTCGGCCTCGCCACACGAGCCCTGAGAGGGTGATACCTAAAACGACGCGAAGATCGGGACAAAATCGGATCGGGATAACTCGAAATCTCTGAGAATCGGCGGGTTTGGAGGATGTATTGGGCGCCGCGGCCGCTCCAGAGCGTTCCGGAACGCTCTGAGAGCTCTCCGGAACGCTCTGGAGCGACTTATCCCGACCCTAGCCCTGTTTTAATATCTGAACACTTCCCCACAAGCTTGTCCTTTGGATGGTCAAGGAGGTTTGGAAGCGGAATCTGCGTCTGGGCGATCTGCACTCGTGGGACCATGCTTTCCCCAGTGATTCTCTCATTTGTACGTCCTGGGACCTTCTAGCCAGTTATGCAATCGCTTCGCGTACTCCACTGGCCCATCTCGCAGCTCTGTTGCTATCTGTCTGTGTACTCGTGGTGAACGAGGCGGAGGAAGAGTGGGAGAGGAGGAGGAGGAGGAGGAGGAGGAGGAGGAGGAGGAGGACGAGGAGGAGGAGGAGGAGGAGGAGGAGGGAGAAGGAGGGATGAGGGATGAGGGAGGAGGGGGAGGAGACGAGGAGGATGAGGAGGTACCTCGATGGCTTGTTGGGGAAATCTTGGGGGCAAGAAAGTTGGGTTCTGTATAAGACGCCTCTTTGAGAGGCTTCTTGGGGTCTATTGGGATGCCTGTCGGGTGCGCCTTTTGGTGGCATACTTGGGAGACTGGGCGGGGGCCTCTTGGGGAAGCATTTTAGGGCCTCGAGGAGCCTCCCCAGGGCCTGCGGGCGGTCTCGGGGGCAATCTTTCGGAGAGAGGCTCGACATGTCATGCCAGTTTCCCCCTCCTGGGGCTCGCCTGGGGGGCCCTTGAAGCCCTCTTACAGGGCGCCCTCTTGGGCCATCTTGAGGCCGTCCTTGGAGCTACTTGGGCTGTATTGGGACGATCTTAGGTGGCCTCTCGGAGGCCTCCTGCGTCAGTTCAGGGCCATCTTGGGTCTTGAGGGCTTTGTTGACCACCTTGAGCACGCCCGAAAATTGAAAACCTTAGAATCGTTGAACATCGTAAGGGGAATCTACGATTCATTCCTTCTTGGTGCCTGCTATATGAGTTACGTTGGAGCGCCCGTGGGCCCTCCTGGGATCCCCATCAAGCCTTCTTAACGCCACCCTCGGCCCTGTTGGAGCGCAATTGAACCGCCGGGGCACCCTGTTGGGCTGGTTCATGGAGCGCCCTGCCCTTCCTGGAGCGCCCTTGGGAGCCCCGAAACCCACGCCCAGAAGAAACAAAACATCTTGACGCTTCGCGTATCCCCACCATTTGTGTCTCGTTCAGGGGCTGTTCTGCAGACTCCCTATATTGCACGCTGGCTCTGCCGCCCTGGGCGCTGCCCCCCCCCGCCGCCTGATCCGCGGCCACCGCGCGCGCTCGGCAATTTAGTCGCGGCCGTAGCCCGCCCGCGACCGCCCGCCGCTGGCGCTTCCGCCTGCGGCTGATAATAAAAGTATCCCCACCATTTTGTTCTGCAGACTCCCTGGATTGCACGCTGGCTCTGACGCCCTGGGACGCTGCTGCGTGCCGCCTGACCGCGGCCCCGCGCGCGCCCGCCGCTAGTCGCGGCCGCAGCCCGCCCGCGACCGCCCGCCGCTGGCGCTTCCGCCTGCGGCTGTAAAAAAAGGTATCCCCACCATATATGGCCTCTCAGACGCCCTGGGTTGCTGCTGGCACCGCCGCCTGATCCGCGGCCCCCGCGCGCGCCCGGATAATTCGTCACGGCCGCAGCCCGACCGTCACCCCTCGCCGCCGGCGCTTCCGCCTGCGGCTGTACAAAAAAAACAACAAACAAAAGTATCCCCACCATAGCCCCTGCCCGCCGCCTGCCTCTTCGCCCGTGGCCGCGACCAACAAAAAGGTATCCCCACCAGCCCATCCAGAAACGATGCCCATGATCGGGGGGGCGTAAGACCCGGGTTTGCCAGGACTCGGGTTCGCCATCGTTTTTTGACGAGGAGGAGTTTCGTGGGATGTCTGCACCGGGAGGCCTCGTCAAAATGCAGGTTCGGCCACGTCATTTTTTTACGACCTCGTCGGGTATTTCCGAGTCCCCTGTACCCAGGTCTTACGTCCCCCTGACATGAGAGCTGACGGGGGGAGAGAGGAAGAGACTCGCATAGTCAAACAGGGAGGGAGGCTGACCTGGACGGCGTGTTGGGGCCATCTCCGGGCCAGCGTGAGGAGGAGAAGGGGGGCCAAGAGGAGGAGGAGGAGGAGGAGGAGGAGGAGGAGGAGGAGGAGGAGGAGGAAGAGGAGGAGGAGGAGGAGGAGCAGGAGGAGGAGGAGGAGGAGCAGGAGGCGATGCAGGGGAAGCCGCTTGGGGGCGCCGCGGCGCCAGGCGGCACCGTTGGCGCCGCCGCCGCGGGCGCGGGCGCGGGCGCCGCCAGCGCGGGAGGCGCTGCAGCTGGTGGCCCGCCGCCAGGCGCCCAGGGTGCCGCAGGCGGCGGCGCCGACACGTCGCGCGACGTCAAGACGGTGGAAATTGATGGTGGTGTACTTTTTGACCTTCGCTCTCAGCTGGAGTCCGATGGCAAGCTCAAGGACCCCGAAGTGCAGGCCACCATCCAGAGCCTGTTCAGCAAGGCGACCCAGCGCCTTGAGGAGGAGAACGCAGAGGTGGCAAAACGAGACAGCCGCAGCAGGAGCCCAGGATCGAGATCTAAGCTGTCCAGTTCCTAGCCTGTGGAGTTTTTTCTCGGCCAATGTCACAAGTTGGCCGAGATGCCAGAGCTATTTGGAGAAGGAATGTGATGGAGTCACATGTTTCCTTCAGGAGTGCAAAGTCGAGAAGGCCGATTTGGCCCAATCCAGCAGCACACTTTTGAAGTTTTGATGGAATGTAAGGTTAGGAGCCTGTGAAGTGACCCAGTCTGGAGGCCTGCCCTCGGGGGTAGGAGTCGCCTGTAGAGTAGGAGTAGGCATGGGTGCCCTGGAAGGTTTGCCGAGACCAACCTCGAGAGTTGTTTCAGCGTGGATAGGTGGTTTGCTGAAAGGTGGCATCATTGGGGTCTCGGTCTACTTACCGTCGGGGGAAGGTGCAGGTGCCCAAGGGCGCCAGATCCTGATGCAGCTCGGAGAGACCCTGTATACGTCTGGGAAGCCCTTTGTCATTGGAGGGGATTTCAATGCGACGGCTGATGAAATCAGAGCTCTCGGGATCCTTGAGGAGTTCGGGGTGTTATTATCCAGCCTGGGAAGCCTACGTGCAGAGTGGGTAAGGAATGGAGAGCGATCGATTATTTCATAGTTTCAGGAGGCCTTGTTCCAGCAGTGGTAAGATGCGATAGGATCGAAGAGACAGAGCTTTCGACGCATTTTCCAGTTAAGCTAGTACTCCGCACGGATTCGCATCTGGCTCAGATTCGCGTTTTGGCCAAACCTCGTCAGTTTCCCGATGAGCCACCAGTGGGACCTGCACCAGCCCCACCGCCAGCTTGGGAAGAGTTGCTAGATAGGTTGGAGGCCTTCGTGGCAGGCTCTGGATTCACGGCTGAGCAGGCGAAGGATACGCATGCTGAGTTCTGTGCTTTGGCTGAGCAGGAGCTGGCGAACACTTACCAGATCGATCCAGCGCAGGCTGATGGGGACAAAGGAAGAGGAGCCCCCTTCAGGTTCGTTTGGAGGCCTGCTCTAACGAAAGTCGGGGGCCCCTACCCCCTGGGATCTCCAGTGTCCAGGGCAATGAGGAGGTATAACGTCAGGATGGAGGAGTTGTTGTTTCTGCTCCGCAAGGGCCGTTCAGGCCAGGATAAGCAGGTGCAGGGCTTGCTGAAAAAAAGGCAGGGGAGCCGCCCACGATCTTGTGGGGGCGCGAGCGCTGGGTCAACTGGAGGCATAAGCATTTTTCTCTGGAAGGCTACCACGCCGAGGCGCTGCATGAAGCGATCCAGGACCATGTAAAGTGCATCCAGGGGGAGGAGCAGGGTTGGAAAAGGTCTCGGCAACAAGAGCGGAGACAATGGGCCCGCTCGGCCCTGGAAAATGGCGGAGGGAAGGCTCGCAAGTGGACGAAGCAGCCCAACGACTGGATCCCCGCGGGCCCTGGCCTCGATGGGGCCCCTGGAGGTTTTCAGGATCAGGTGGGGGCCCTGGAGGAGGAGTGGAAGCACATCTGGAGGTTCGGGGGGGGCGCCCAAGGTCGCTCCCAGGATGCTCAATGAGATGCCCCTCGAGGACCCGAAGCCGCCAGTTGCGCCAGGGCAAATCAGGGCCGTCTTGGGGAAGTTCAAGAAGCATACTGCTGTGGGAGTTTGTAACTGGACCCCGCACGCGCTGACGCAGCTCTGTACCTCTGGCCTGCTTGCTCTCAGTGTCTTGATGTATCTGTGGGACGCGCGCGCCCAGATGCCCGAGCAGGTTGCGCTGCCCATTCTGCCGTTCTTGCAGAAGCCTGAAGGGGGGGGGAGGCCCATCGGGATCATCTCCACCCCTGTGAGGCTCTATAGTCGGCTTCGGCATGAGGGGGCGGAAAGGTGGGGGGACAAGCACGCGCGCACGTACATGTATGGAGGAAAGGGTAAGAGTTGCGAGCTGGCTATCTGGAAGCAGGCGCTGCTGAACGAGGCCGCTCGAGCCAGCAAATGTTTCAGTGGATGCACGCTGATTGATCTGGAAAACGCGCACGAACGCATCACGCACGAGCAATTGATACGAGCATGCAATAAGCACGGGTTCAGCTTGAGGAGGTTAAAGTTTCTCTCGTTGGTCTACTCGGGCAAGCGGGCCATTAAAGTAGGAGAGGCGGTGTCCATGCCCTTTGAGCTGAACGCCGCCATAGTGGCAGGCTGCTCGTATGCGACGACGCTGCTGAAAGCAGTGCTGTTAGATGTTTTCGACGCGGCGGTCAAGAAGTGGCCGGGGATCGGTGTTTCTCTGATGGTGGGCGACACTGGTCTCCTGGCCGTGGGTGGTCAGCTAGTTAGGTGCACTCTGTTTGTTTGCAGGTCCCTGGAGAAGCTCGAGATGAAGGTTTCGAGACGTAAATCGATCCTGGTGGCCTCGGGCCCGAAACTTGGAAAGCAGCTGGCGTGGGCGCTTCGGGAATTCGGGTTCAAGCATGTTCAGGCGACCAAAAACCTCGGGGTCGATTTCAAGCTGAAGGGTAGAAATGTCACAAAAAAAAAAAAAAAAAAAAAAAAAAAAAAAAAAAAAAAAAAAAAACACGACTGACGACGACCAGGGGCAGGGTGCGACGGTTCAGGGCTTTCAGATTCTCTCGGAAGCCGCTTCAGAATGCTTATCGAGGAGGCCCCACACTGGCGGTCATGCATGGTGTTTCGGTCGTCGGACTCGGCGACGCGCAGTTGGAGCAGCAGCGCGCCTCGACAGGTGCGGCTATTTTCGGGTCTGTGTAGGGCCGCATCCGCAGCTTGCAGTTCCTTTTGGCTGAGGTCGAGAAGCTCGACCCGATGTTCGCAGCAAATTCTTTGCCTCTGCAGATGTGGGTCAGAGCAGTATTTGATTCGTGGGCCACGGATGCCCAGATGAAGCACGCCTTCGACTACGCGGTCAAGGCTAGGTCTCAAGGGTGGAGGACGGTCCTAGGCCCAGCAGGAGCGGTAGTGCTCACCCTTCGGAGACTCGAGTGGGGAGCTGTCTCCTGGGATGTTTGGGTCAACGCCGACGCAGTGACCATCAACATCAAAGAAGTAGGGCCTAGGACTGTGCAAACCCTAGCGGATGAGCGACTAGACGGTTGCTGCGTATGCGTGCGGGAGCTCATTACAATGCCTCTTGGGAGCCATATGTGGGGCCTCTGCGTGGTGAACTTGCTAGGCTAAGAGGTGCTGGAGATCTTCTTGGGGGCAGTCTGCTTATCGCTCAGGTTTCTGGAGGTCGCTGGGCTCAGGCTGATGTTTCCAGGAAGAGGTACGTGATAGATGATCGGTGCCAGTGGTGCATCCAGAAGAATGGTACGGTTTTTCACCGAATATGGGGCTGTGATGGCTACAAGCTGATCAGGAGGGGCCATGATCATAGTGGGACGGGGGCCGCAGCCATGGCCCTGACTCAGCCTGACATCCTGTTCACGAGAGCCCTGGTGGACTCCAAGAGGACCGAATTCCCCAAGATCCTCCAAGGTGCTGAGTATCGGTGGGCTGTGAAGCCCGCGAGTGGAGTGCTAGGCGACACTGTCTGCATCGACGGTTCCTCCTACGACGGAGATATTCGTTGGCTTTTGCGTGCTGGCTGGTCGGTCGTCTCCGTCAGCCCGAGCATGCAGGTAGACGCAGTGGCCTACGGGCCTTCCCCTCTCCCAGTGCAGGACGTGCCGTCCAGTGAGCTTCACGCCTTCTACATGGCGCCGTGCCTCATGGGGCCCAGTATCCACATCATAACGGATTGTAAAATGGTCTACGACGGGTGGAACATGGGAAGGGAGGGGACGGACAAACCCAACAAGTGCTACGCGGAGGTCTGGCGCCTCATCTGGATGAGGATCGAGGACGTCGGAGTTAATTCGGTGAATGTGTGTTGGATGCCTTCGCATATGTCGGAGGCGGCGGCGCAACGACGAGGCTATGAGCCACATTGGTTCAGAGGCAACCAGGAGGCGGACTCCTGGGCCAAGACAGGTGCCAAGGCGCATCCAGCAAATCATCACCTTCGGGATCGTCTGCGGCATCATCATGATCAGGTTACGCTCGTCTCCAGATATATGATGGCTGTTCTGTAGCATGTCCATCAACTGGGTTATCCTGATGTGTCTTCATACTCCGAGCGTGCCAAAAGAGAACCTAAGAATTCGGAGGCCCCGATTCTCGAGATAGTCCCAGATGATAAGGGTCACGTTGACGTTGTGTCGCAGGCTCCTGGCGGTGGGTGGGGATGCTGTGTCTGTGGGATGTCGCGGGCGATTCGCTCTCGGCTGGTGCAGCTGCCGTGCCCTGGGCGTCCGAGGATTGTGTCCCAGGCCCACCCCACCCATCGTCTCTGGCAGAATGGAGTTTTGACCTGGTGCGTGCGCTGTGGAGCGTATGCCCGCTTGAAGGTCAAGGAATTGAGCAAAGAGTGTTCGGGGAACCCCGACACTGAGTGGAAACGGAAAGCCCTGGGGATTTCGAAGCAGGGGAAGGATCCGTCGGACTCTAAATCGGAGGCGGTTGTCCCTGCCCCCCTCAGGCGCTGAGTTTCCGTTTTCTTTAAAGGGCGGGCGTCTTGTGTTATCGGGACGACCGCTGAGGGGCGCAAGAGCGCAAGAGGAGGAGGAGGAGGAGGAGGACGAGGACGAGGACGAGGACGAGGACGAGGGGGAGGATGAGAACGAGGAGGAGGAGGAGGATGAGGAGGAGTGGGAGTTGGACGAGAACGAGAGGACGAGGAGGAGGAGGAGGAGGAGGAGGAGAAGCAGAAGAAGGAACATGATGAGGAGGAGGACGATCAGGAGGACGAGGAGGAGAACGAGGAAAAGGACGACGAGGAGAAAGCGTCGTGGGTGCCTCGGGAGAGTTTCTTGGGCCTCTTAGGGGCCGCTCGGGGGTCTCCTTGGGGCCTCTTGGGGGCCTCTTGGAGGCCTCTTGGAGCCTCTTGGGACGCTCTTGGGGGCGCTCTTGGGGGGTCTCTTGGGAGCCCTGGAGGGTCTCTTGGGGCCATCTTGGAGGCGGTCGGTCAAAGCAGGGCTGTCTCGACGTGTGCCCCCCCCCTCGGGGGCCACGATCCTCGGGAGGGGTATGCCGGAATTGACCCTCGCAGTGGCCATCTTGGGCGCTGTAGCCCTTCGCGAGACCTCCCAAACAGAACATCCAGGAGGGGAGGGGGAGGGCCCTCCTCCCCGGAGGGAATCGGGGCTGTGGAAGAGGGAAGAGAACATCCTTCGACCGCCTGTCGCCCAGAGGGCTGGCGGGATTACGACCTCCCTCGGGAGCAGCAGAAATCGCATCTTGGGCCCTTCTTAGAGCGCTCTTGGCGCACCCTTGTAGCCGTCTTGGAGCTCGCTAGGGCCTCTCTTTGGGCTCCCTGGGGCCCTCTTGGAGCCATCTTGAGGCCCCGGGAGGCCATTGAAAGCAAAAGGATTAGAAGGCCAACCTCATTTATCTTTCAAGAGATTTGAATTCATTTTGGCTGCTTGGCAGCCTCTTAGGGAGGCTCCGTAGCCCCTCGGAGCCGTCTTAGAGCCGTCTTTTGGTCCTCTCGGGGCACTCTTGCGCGCCTTGTGGGCGCTCTGGGTCCATCTTGGAGGAGATCGATCAAAGAATGGGAAGCTTCACGTAGCGCCGCCTCTCGAGAGTGCAACATTGCATCTTGGGCCCCATCTTGGAGCGCTCTCGGGGCGCCATTGGGTGCTCTTGGAGCCGTTTTGGGGCTCTCTTGGGCCTCTTTAGATGGCCCTCTTGGGCCATCTTGGAGCCATCTTGAGGCCCCGGAAGGCCATCGAAGGCAAAAAGGCGAGAAGGCCAAATTCATTGATTTTAGTTACGTGTTTGCAGGATTTGGGCATTTGGGCGGCATCATGGGGAGGTCCCGTGGCCATCTTGAGCCGTCTTGGAGCGGTCTTGAGACCTCTTGGGGCATCTTGGGACCATCCTGAGCCATCTTTGAGGCGGTAAGTCAAACGAGGGGGCGTACTCGATTTAGGCCCCCCCGCGGGGGCCACGATCCTCGTGAGGGGTGGCGTAGAATGGCCCTCCCAGTGGCCGAAACGGGAGCCTCCGACACATCGCGGAACCTCCCCAGAAACCTCAGGGAGGGGGAGAGGGAGGGTTCAGCTCCCCGAAGGGAAGAGGGGTTGTGGAAGAGGAAGGAGACCCTCGTTAGACCACCTGTCGCCCAGAGGGCTGGTGGGACTCGGGCCCAGGGTTTGGGGATCTGCTAAGGGTGAGGTGAACTTCCTGTCCCGTGGCCCCAGGGGCCAACCCGCGCGCGGGACTTTCAGAAATCCTGGAGCACTTGCAGGAGATGTTCGCACGCCGCTGGCCGGGGCCGTCGTATTTCTCGACACAATGCTCTGAGTGCAACCGTCCCCAGATAGAAGTTGCCAGCTAGCCGACCATGGCATACTGAGTCCTGAGTAGTCTTCGAGCCAGACGTACCCGAAACTATTCATCTACTGCCACGGCTCGTGCCTGCTCCTATCCAGCCCCAACCGCCTAGCAACCATGTAGGCATCGATGTGGGCAACCGTGGGGATCATGTTCGGGACAGCCATGGACCATGGAGACAATCATGGGGACAATCGTTCGGTCAACCATCAGGACAAACAGTGGGGACAAACAGTGAGGACATCAGGTCAACCATCAGGACAAACAACATCCCGATATGTTTTTCCCCGCTGGGGGACTCCGTCTCACTGCCGTCTCACCGCCCCAACTTCCAACGGGCTGTGGTTCAGTAGGGTCCCTGCCCGACCTGTTCGGCTCGCTGGCTTGCCCGAGCTTGCACAGCCAGGGGCGGTGTTTGCCGCCGCCGCTCCACGCCGAGCGGGAGGGACGACAGACAGGAGAGCCGGGCCTCCCCGGGTGGCGCAGATGCGGTCGGAGCCCCGCGCCGCATCGCCGACGCGTCCACGATGCGGCTCGATGCGGAGCCAGAGAGCCTCTCCTCGCCGAGGGCGCCCACGCTAGGGGGCCACATGCGAACCCTACCCCTACCTCCCACGAGTTCTGAGGGGGAGGGTGGGGTTCACTCCGCTCGGGAGCTCCCGAACGAGGTGAACCCCACCCTCCCCCTCAGAAATCGTGGGGGGCAGGGGTCGGGTTCGCATGTGGCCCCCTACACGCATCACCGATGCGTCGCCGATGCCTCGCCGACGCCATGGGCGGTGCGGTGCGAGCCGCGGACCCCGCCTGCCCGGCGCCCCCGTCCGAGAGGCCTCCGCGGGGGGAGTGCGGAGACGGAGAGGCGCATGCGCCGTGCTTCCGGCCAGGGGCTCGCTTAGGGGGCCGCCCGCGGCCCCTCGGGGGCGGGGCCCCGCGTGCGGCGGCAGGTCGGTGGGAGCTCCGCCGGGCCTCGCAGGCCCGCCTCTGCGGGGCACCCCGCGCGTGATAGGCCAGTTTCCCACTACCACCACCATAGGTTTGGGGGGCAGGGGGCCATCCCCCTCTTCTTCCTCCTCCTCCTCCTCCTCCTCCTCCTCCTCCTCCTCCTCCTCCTCTCGTATGGTGGAGGTGGTGGTGGTGGGAAACAGGCCCATCAGCGTGCGCCAGTGGGTGGCAGTCGACGAGAGAGCGCGGCTCTGGCGGCGACGAGGGCCAGCGCAGCGCCGGTCGGCGTCGATGCGGCGTTCTGTCAGCGTCGACCAGCGTCGGTTTTCAGCGCTGGCCAGCGTCAATCTGCGAGAGGCGGCAAGGTGGCAGGCCTTCTCAGAAGGCTCGGGAGTCCCCCGGCCGTCGGAGAAGTTTTCTGAGCCTTCGCCGAAGACACAGAACACTTCTCTGCAGGCCCCAGTGCTGCTGAGAAGCCCCGCCGCGTTCTGAGAAGGCCACCTCCTTCTCACTCTCCCCCCTCGCCCGTCGCAGAAGAGCTGGCTAGGGAGGCTCGCGTGCTTTCCCACGTCGCCGACCCCCCCGAGGTCCTGACCCCCTTCCCTGAGACCAGCTTCGCTTCCTCCCGAGCTGCTCTCTGACGCCCCCGGGGCCCGGCGAGGACCCCCCCCACCCGGAGGCCGAGCAGGGTTAACAAAACTCAGCCTGAATGACCTACCCCGCTTTCGCTTCCAGGCAAAACCAAGTCATACCACGCGCCTCCTCGCCAAGAGGCCTGACCAGTACAGGCCGTAGTTTGGCATCGCTAGGTGTCTCTTGGAAGCGAGAGTGGTCAAAAGCGAGGCAGGTTTGTTTGCCCCCTAAAAACGCCCCGCCCGCTGCCGCTGCGCAGCGCGAGAGGGGGGTCTTTGGGGGGCTCGCGCGAGCTGCCGCCGAACCCGCGCAGGGGTGCCCTCGGACGCGCGGCCGGAGGCGGGGGTTTTGAGTCGGGCCTGTCCCTGTACCGGGGGGAATGTTCACAGATAGTTTAGAAAATGCTCAAAGATAGTCCAGAAAATAGTCTGGGGAATGCTCAAAGATACGATTAAAAACATGTCTGGCGGATACTTGTTTTTACTTTGTTTATATTTTGTCAATTTGGGAGAATGTTGGGAGTATTTTTTTGGGTGCGTCCAAAATCCCCCTGTGGGGGGACACGCCCGACTTAAGGTGATGTCGGGACTGTCCCCCTACAGGGGGATTTTCGACGAAAAGTTACACATTCACCAAAACTATGCCAACAAGGTCAAGCCATACTCGAAAAATAGTCCCCAGACTATGTCTGGATTATTTGTTTAAACAATTATTTTGGGGGGTATTCCTTATGTTTTTTGACGAGCGCGTCCTGGATTTTGACGGTCCAGTTTTTTCGTGGGATGTCTGCAGCGGGAGCTCGCGTCAGATTTCAGATTGGGCCTCGTCATTTTTATGATGGCCCCGTCGGACCAACCCGAGTCCCCCGTACCCGACTCTTACGTCTCCCCGACTGTAGGGGGACACGCCCGACTTGAGGCGAGGGCGCGCGGCCCGCCCCCCCCCCCGCTGGCGGCGGCGGCCGGCCCCCTCGCCCTCCCCGCGCGCCCGCGCGCGCGGCCTGCACGGCCCGGTGCGCGCCCGTGGGATACCGCGCCACCTCGCCCGGGGCTCGCTCCATCCGAACATCCCCGTCCTCCTCCTCCTGCTCCTCCTCCTCCTCCTCCAGCTCCTCCTCCTCCTCCTCCTGCTCCTGCTCCTTCTCTCCTCCTCGTCCTCCTCCTGCTCCTCCTCCTGCTCCTCCGCCTCCGCCTCCTCCTCCTCCTCCTCCTCCTCTTCCTCCTCCTCTTCCTCCTCATCCGCCTCCGCCTCCGCCTCCTCCTCCTCCTTCTCCTGCTCCTCCGCCTCCGCCTCCGCCTCCGCTTCCTCTCCCTCCTCCTCCTCCTCCCGATCGGCCTCCGCCTGCTCCCCCTCCCCCTCCTGCTGCTGATCGTCCTCCGCCTCGTTCGCGGCAACGAGGAGGAGCAAGTCGAGGAGGCGGATGCGATCCCGCCCCCACCTCTTACCCCCTCCATCTCCTTCCCATCCCCCCCTTTCCTCTCGCTCCTCCCTCCTGATTCCATTCTCCAGCCTCCCTCCTCCCCCCCATTCTCCCTTCCTCGGTCTGTCTGTCGGGACAGGAAGGGGGGACTACGAAGCGACAGCTGAGGCGGCGATCGATGACGTGCCCGGTCACGCCGCCATCTGAGATCAGTGGCGGGGCATTCGTTGTGGCTCGACAAGCGGCTTCGAATGAAGCAGATCGAATACGGGCTCTGGCGTGGCAGCGGGGACATGCGAGGTGACGCGACGACGAATTGCAGCATCTCCAGGGACACCATTTTCGAGGTGGTGGCAGGCCAGCTTGTCCACACCCACAACGCTGGGAAGTACAGCGGCTATAATCAAACACCGATGCGCCCAACTCCGAAAGAAGGTGCCATTGGCAGAGAGGTAAAGGCGACAACGTTGCCACTAGATCTGACGAAGTTCTACAACTACTTGCATCATGTCACGACCGAGCCGACGCACCGAGAGGTACTGCGGTCAGCGACGCGGGGGCGCGTGAGAAATTTGCAAGGTGCGCATGCGCAGGCGCGGTGTACGAGTAGGTGCCATCCCGTTCGGCGGTGCCATCACCCGGTGATGGGATCGGCACACCAGCGAAAGTAGGGTCGTGTCGATGGATGGCACGTGCGCTGCGCTGGGTTATGCTCCATTAGTTGTGTGAGCAGAGGGTTCAATAAACTTACTTGATTGGGCACCCGATCCGAGGGGTATCTGATATTAACCTCTCCGCCCTGTGGGGTAGCAGAGTCTTCTCGTGCCCGCAGCTTCGCCCCATTTGCCGTGAGATTTGTTTTGTAGACATGGTCTTGCAGAACACGTTTTCTCGACGTACCCCCTCACACGTCTTCTCCCCGTGCCCCCGTCCTTCTCCCCGTGCTCCCCCCCCGCCCCCCCCACCCTCGCGTCCTGCAGAGCACCCCCCCCTCACGAGGCCCACGGGGCCCCAGGGCGCCAGGGGCGCCAGGTTTTGAGCGGGCAACTGGGGGCATTTTGGACCAGGGACACTTCTGGCACCACCCGTGTGTACTCCAGATTTCGTAATAAAAGGGAGGGGGTCTGGACCCTCCAAGACAAGCCATTTCAGACCTCCCCCGTGGGAGAACCCTCCAAAACATCGTCCCCAGACCCCCCCAGGCCCTCCAAGATAGCCTGGAAGAGACCCCCCCCGAAATGAGACCCCTCTCCCTTTATTACGAAATCTGGTGTACTTCTGATGGCCGGGAGGCGTCGCCTCTGGGCCTGTTCCGATCTCCGACGCCGCGAGGACCACCCGCGGCGACGAGGGCGACCTTCGAGCCTACCACGACGACGACGACTGCCGCTGCAACGGCGACGACGACGACGACGACGATCTACGACGACCACGGCGTCGACCACCACCACGACGACGACCACCGCGGCGACGACGACGACCACAGCGACGACGACGACGACGACCTGCTGCCCGCTCCGGTGGCCGTCCTTGCGGCCAGGCCCTCGGCGCCCAGGACTGCGAGGGCGAGCCGAGCGAGTGGAGGGACTGGCGCGCCCGGGCGGGGCTCAGAAGCCAGCCGGCAGCCACCGCGGGGGGACGACGGGGACTCCTGCCGTCGAGCAGTGGCGCAGCGTCCTGGCCCGCCCCTCGGCCCGCCAAAGCATGCGCTCAGGACCTGGCGAGGTGTGCGCCGATGGTTCTTAGAACATTCGGGCCGGACGAAAGGGGGGGATTGGGAAAGGGGGGGGTACGAAATCTGCTGCATGCAGCTGGTTTCGGCCCCACCGAGGGGCCCATTCCTCGATACATGGTCGCCTCCGGCGCCGGGAGGCGCCGGGAAAATCAGCTACGTGAGCTGATTCTCACCCCCCCCTTTGCTATCCCCCACTTTCGCCCGACCCGAAGCATTCTCGCGTGAAACTGTGTTGTGTATATTAGTGCACGGGGGTTTCGATCTAAGGACGCTGTCCTCGGTTCTCAGAGCAACGGTTGTTTGACATCGCTCCGTGGCAGGCCAAGAGGAAGGGCAGGACGGTCGATCCCTGCTCAATGCCCCCCCCCTCCCTGTCGGGAGGCCACGGCAGTGGCGAACAGCCCAGAGGCGGAGACTACACACGTAGTTGCCCGGGAGCCTCGCCGAAGGCATGGAGCATCGGCGCCATTGTATGCACGTACTCCAAATCCCTTATTAATCGACTCCACCCTTCCAAAAGCGGACCCCCCTCAAAATGCGACCTAATATTCTGGACCCCCCTCTTTGACGGGGCGCCTTAATAATCCGGACCCCCTACTCCAATCCAAAGAGAACGTCCTAATACCCCCCGAGATACAAAAAAAGGCGCCTTAAAAAACCAGACCTGGTGGACGATTAATAAGGGATTTGGAGTATTGTTATCTTCCTTGGGTTATTCGCCCCCATCGCCACCCCGTGTTCTCATCTCCTCGTCTGCCTGGTCACCCAGTTCCTCCTCGTCCGTCCCCTTTGAGTCTGAGGTTGCGAGGCTGTATGGCTTTGACTAGCTAACAGGTGTGCCAGCGTTCACGCCGTGGTTTCGGAGAGTGTCGGCCAAGGCCACCCTTCATGAGCTGCTCCAAGAGGAGGTGTAGCTCGGCCCTGCGTCCTAGGACGAGGGGGCTCTCGCCCCATTTGCCAGCGAGCGAAGAATGGTATAGAATAAACTTTTTGGCTGTCGGCGGCGCCTGTCCCTGGGCGGCTGGAAAGTTTATACCCCTACGGTGCCACTGTAGGGGTATAAACTCTCCAGCCGCGCTGGGACAGGCGCCCCCGACAGCGAAAAAGTTTATTCTATACCGTTCTTCGCCCGTTAAATTTGGTCAGTCTCGGTCTCAGTCTTCCGTCCCCGCTAGCCGTACGAGTAGCCCACCCCCCTGCCGCACCACCACCACGCGTGCTCGCCGGCCGGCCCGGGCGTCGAGGCGTGGAGGGCCGACTGTGGTGTTCGAGTGGAGCATTCAGGAGGGGAAGAAACAGACAGAATTCATCGGCGATTCCCAAGAACATATGGGAAACTATGGGAGGTGGGGGGGGAAGACAAAAAGAACCCAGAACATGTGGGGAAAGATGGGGAATCTTTTTTTTTGTGTGTATTTATTTGTGTGTGTGTGTGTCCCAGGGCCCCTTCACCTGTCTGCGCCGCGTACAGTCGCATGGCACACGCAGCAGTTTGAAGGATGGGCAACAGTGGTGTCAAGCATGTTTTGTTGCCGTAGCCTCCCGCATATATGAGGTGAGAGTCGCACCGGCCATATAGCTGGAGTCGGGATGGTTTCCTCAAGGTGGCTCTCGCTGTAGCGTTGCGTGCAGTAGTCCAACGCATGTACAAGTTGGAGGGCTAGAGTGGTGGTGGTGTTTTTTATGTTTTTTTTTCTGAATGGGGCTCTCGCTATAGCTTTGCGCTAATTCGTTCCGAAAGCGTGGAAGAGTTATGTGGGTACAGGGAGGGGCTAAACCATGTAAATTGCGCTTCAACGCTGCGCTCAATTGTCCCAACTGCGTGCAACAGTGACGAGGTGCCCACGGGGGAGGGTCAACACAGGCTCCTGCCTTCTTGCGCGCATCCGTTCTCCCAGGTTTGCCAGCGTCATCAAGCCTGCTTGCCCCACCTCCGTGCCAGCCCAGCACTGGGGTTGCGACCGATCGGGTCAGCTCAGGACCTGGGCCCGTGTTAGGGCCCCCTCGGTCGCCTGAGGACAGTCTTGGGCCCCCAAGGGGCCCTCTGACGCGGCCTCGGGGCCCTGGAGGCGATCCTGGGGCTCTTCGGGGGGCCGTCCTGGGCCATCGAGGGGCCCTCGTGGACCGCCGCTTGGCGCCCCCTCGGTCCGCCGTCCTCCTCCCCCTCCTCCGCCTCCTCCTCCTCCTCGCTCTGCTCGTCCTCCTCCTCCTCCCCCTCCTCCTCCTCCTCCTGCTAGCAGCGCGTTTCTTGACATGGGCTTCCACTGTAAGTTGAGGACGCCGAGACTTGCTGTGACGGACTGTGCGGTGAATTTGGAGTCGAAGTTGCTTAGTAGGTCGACCATGCCAAATCAGGGGTGCCCTTGCAACCCATGCCCTCCACATCAGGGGTGCCTTTTTTGTTCGCAACCCATGCCCTCCACATTGATATGGCAATGTGGTCTTCGGAAGGGTCCTGTCGAGATGGCCACAGCTTCCCGAGACATCTTGGGACACCCTGTGACCTCTGGGCCTCGGGGGGGGGGCGTGGACATCCCCTAGGGCCTCCTTTGAGAAGGCCTCTGCGACCACCGCCGGCAAGTCTCGGCTTCTCAAATTACAGTGGAAGCCCATGTCAAGAAACGCGCTGCTTGCAGGAGGAGGAGGGGGGAGGAGGGGGAGGAGAAGGAGCAGAGGGAGGAGAAGGAGCAGAAGGAGGAGGAGGAGGAAGAGGAGGGAGGAGGAGGAGAGGAGAGGAGGAGGAGGATGGGGAGGAGGGGGAGGAGGGAGGTGGAGAAGGATGGAGGAGGACAGACTTGCCCCCACCGCTCCAAAGATAGACCCCCCCCCCCAGATGGACTCGGTCCCCCCAGATGGACCCGACCCCCACCCTGGATAGGCTCGCACCCTGCCTGGACAGATTGGCTCACCTCTGATAGACCCGGCCCTCCCCCCTCAGGCAATTCCCCTCCCCCCCTCCAGATCGATTCGCCCCGTCCAGATAGACTCGCCCCCTCTCGATAGCATAGCCCCTCCTCCCCCCTCCAGATGGACACGGCCCCCCCATCCAACACACTCGCCCCCACTTGGTGTGTTCGCCCCCACGGACAAACTCGCCAAGGCGGCGGATGACGAGGAGGGAAAGAAGCAGGGAGGGATGCAGGAGGATTTGGAGGAGGAAGAGGAGTAGAAGTACCGAGGACCGATCACATCCTGTGATGAGCATGGTGAAGAGAAGACGGAGGAGGAGGAGGAGGAGGAGGAAGGAGGAGGAGGAGGAGGAGGAGTAGCATCGAGGACCCACCACTTCCTTTCTCTGCCGTGTCGGAAAAGAGAACAGCACAAACATCGGGGCTGGCGTCCTTCGTGCCAACGTTTGATCGCCCTCGGGAGTGCGATGATAATCTCGCCTCCCCGGTTGAAGAGCCGCCCTTCTCTCCACGGGGGCGGCGCGAGGTCGCGAAGACGACCGCTTGTCGCGCACCACGGGGCGCGATGCGCGAAGCTGGTGGTGGCCGGGCCAACACCCTGCCGCCCTCCCGCCCAGGACGTACCCCAAGAAGCAGTGGTGCTGTGACCACCCCCCCGCCGCCTTGCCCGTGCGCCGGAGCGCGGGCGGGGGACAGCAGCAGCCTGAGAGGAGGGGCGGGCAGGGGCGAGGCAGGCTCTGGACGCTCGTCGGCATCGTCGTCGTCGCCGCCGCCGCTTACCGCCGTCGCCGTCGTCGTCGTTGTCGTCGTCGTCATCGCCGCCGCCGTCGTCGTCGTCGCCGTCGCCGTAGCCGTCCTTGCCGCCGTTGGGCTGACGACCTAATCGCTGCCCCTCCCCTCACCATCCTCCTGGTCGTCGTTCTTGAGTGTTTTGGGCGTCATTGAGGGGTTTCCTTTCCCCACCTGCTGGGCGCGGCTCGGAGAACTAGTCAGCATGGAATTCGGAACTTTACTGGAGGCAGACTTTGGACACGTTCTGGACGCCCTCCAGGAGTCGCCATGAGCAAAAGGGGTCCCGAGTGTTTTCGCCGTTTTCGGTCTCCTGGTTTCTTCTTGTGCCTCGGGGACCGGCTAGATACCAATCAGGATGAATTGGTCCAGGGCGGAGCTACAGATTGCAGGACCCGTTGCCTTCAGGACCCCTTTTTCCCTCGTGGCAATCCCGTAAGTTTCTCCCTCCTCTTCCCACTTGTTCTGCCTCTTATCACGATCCCACTCTTGCCCCCGCTTCTGCCACTGCTGCCCTCTTTGTTGCTTCTCCCGAGCCTCGTCCTTGTCCCCACCTCCTGGGCCTCCCTTCCTCGTCCTCGTTTCTATCCCTGCTTCTCGTCGTCCTCTTCCTTCTTCTCTTTGTAATTCCCATCTTCGTCATTCTTCATCCTCTTCGTCCCCCCTCCCTCCTCCTCCTCCCACCTCCCACCTTGCACCTCCCTGCTCCTCCTCATGTTCATCCTCTTCCTCCTCCCTCCCGTGCTAGTCTCTCAGATCGAGGCGTCCGATCTCGGAACTCATCGAAAACGCGCACGCATATGACAGACCAGAAGCGTTTTAATGTCGGGGGCCTTCGGCTCATCCCTCCGGGACGAATGAGGCCTCTTGGAGGAGGAGGAGGAGGAGGAGGAGGAGGAGGAGGAGGAGGAGGAGGCGGAGGAGGAGGAGGAGGAGGAGGAGAGGGAGGAGGAGGGGGAGGCGGAGGATGGGGAGGCGGAGGAGGACGGGGAGAAGAAGGAAGAGGAGGGGGAGGAGGAGTAGGCGAAAGAGGAGGAGGAGGAGGAGTTGCAAGAGCCTTGAACGGTGCTTCGGGGGAGCCCTTTTGGTGCCTCTCTGGGGCGCTTCATGAGGCCGCTCGGGAGCCGTGGGAAGGAGATACTTCCTGCGGTTCAAGTTCGGGCGCACTTGCTTGGCCCCTTGATGGGGCCAGATGCCTTTGGGGAGGCCTACTTTGGGGCGTTGGAGGCTGCCTTGGGGCGATCGCGGGAGGGGGGCTTTTGGCTTTGTGGGTTGTCTTGCGCGGCACGAGACGGCGGAGTGATGCTTGTCTCTTGGGCCGACGCCAAGTGACCACAAGATTGTCCAACAGGCCCCGTACCAGGACGGGACATTAGGACCATCCAAGGACATGATATCATGTTGCCGACGTACAAGTGGCACGCGTGCCCTGGTTCTTGCACAAATGTGTCCGAGGCTCAGGGGGGCTGCCCTGGGAAGCCTGGGCGGGGGGGGGCAGAGGGGGGGGGGCAGGGGGACGAACGACACGACAGACACGACACGAAAATAAAAGTGGCCCAGGGGGGCTACCCTGGGAAGCGTGGACAGGGGGGGGGGGGGGGACGAACGACACGACGAACGACGAAAATAAAGGGTTCCGTGGCCCAGGGGGGCTACCCTGGGAAGCGTGGACAGGGGGGGGGCGAGGGGGACGAACGACACGACGACGACGGACGGGAGTGAACGACACGACGAACGACGAAAATAAAGGGTTCCGTGGCCCAGGGGGGCTACCCTGGGAAGCGTGGACAGGGGGGGGGGCGAGGGGTACCCTGGGAAGCGTGGACAGGGGGGGGGCGAGGGGGACGGGGGGGGGCGAGGGGGACGAACGACACGACGAACGACGAAAATAAAGGGTTCCGTGGCCCAGGGGGGCTACCCTGGGAAGCGTGGACAGGGGGGGGGCGAGGGGGACGAACGACACGACGAACGACGAAAATAAAGGGTTCCGTGGCCCAGGGGGCTACCCTGGGAAGCGTGGACAGGGGGGGGGGCGAGGGGTACCCTGGGAAGCGTGGACAGGGGGGGGGGCGAGGGGGGGGAGGGGGGCGAGGGGGACGAACGACACGACGAACGACGAAAATAAAGGGTTCCGTGGCCCAGGCGGGCTACCCTGGGAAGCGTGGACAGGGGGGGGGGGCGAGGGGTACCCTGGGAAGCGTGGACAGGGGGGGGGCGAGGGGGAGGGAGGGGGGCGAGGGGGACGAACGACACGACGAACGACGAAAATAAAGGGTTCCGTGGCCCAGGGGGGCTACCCTGGGAAGCGTGGACAGGGGGGGGGGGCGAGGGGTACACCTGGGAAGCGTGGACAGGGGGGGGGGCGAGGGGGACGGGGGGGGGCGAGGGGGACGAACGACACGACGAACGACGAAAATAAAGGGTTCCGTGGCCCAGGGGGGCTACCCTGGGAAGCGTGGACAGGGGGGGGGGCGAGGGGGACGAACGACACGACGAACGACGAAAATAAAGATGTCCGAGCTCTAGAGCACAGCTGTGCAAGAGAATTAAAAAAACAGTCATTGGGTGCGTGGCAGAAGTGAGATTCCGCGGCTCGGATTACACTTGTTTGTTGTTGCATTCTCATCTCCAAGGGACATGTCGTTTCGATCTCCATTCGCTGAAAACGGGAACATCCTCATGCTGTGCCCCTGGCACACAGTTTACAACACAAACGGTTCCCGCCTAACCCCCTCGCAATCTTATGCAACATCGTGTTCTCGCGTGGGACGCCCTCGCAATTCCCAAACAGTCTTTGCATTTTGGGGTTCTCTTGTTCCCGTTTGCCCGTCTGCCGCTCTGGCAGTAATGTAGCCGCCGCCGCCGCCCCGTCGCTGCCTGGTGGCCGCCCATCGCCTGGGCCTGCGTGTCGTTCTGGTGGCGGCAAAAATCGTCACAAAACATCTGGGGACGATTTTAAAACTATGTTTGGGTATGTTTGAATACGTCTTGTTTTTTAGTTTCCGCCCAAAATCCGCCTTTAGGGGGACATGCCCGACCTAAGGCTAGGTCGCCGCCGCCGCCCCGTCGCCGCCTCGCCGCCGCCCTTCGTCTGGGCCTATCTGTCGTTATGGCGGCGGCTGTGCTGTCGCCGTCGCCGCTCCGTCGCCGCCTCGTCGCCACCTGTCGTCTGGGCCTATCTGTCGTTCTGGCGGCCATGCTGTCGCCGTCGCCGCCCCGTCGCCGCCCCGTCGCCGCCCGTCGTTCGGGCCTGTCTGTCGGTCTGGCGGCTTTGTTGTCGCCGTCGCCGCCATGTCGCCGCCTCGTCGCGCTTTCGCATGATTGTCTGAAGTCGAATTCGGATTTCCCCCCACCGGACTTAACGACCCGCTTTATTTTATTGTAGTATATTATGGTTTTGCACCATAGCCGATCCGACATATGACGTCTTACTTTCCAAAGCAGTCCCTCACCTGTCCCCCCCTCGTCCTTAGCAACAAGTGCAATGCGCGCGCACTCGGTTAGTAAAATCCCTAGGTCTCGGGAATCCTTTGCAAAAGCGAGACGAAGTGCACACGCGCGCGTCCGCGCGTGGTTATTCCGAAACCGAGACATTTCAAAACAAATAGCTTGACAACAGTCCTTTTAATCTACTTGTATGCATGTATATATGTATATAAATCTGTTTACACGCATAATTCTTCGAAGAAATGAAACATGCCGCTCTGGCGAACCCTTATGACAATATTTGCGAAAGCGTTCTCATCAAATGCTAGCAAACGTGTTTTTCGCGCGCGCAAGTCGAAATCGTTGGACGCCCTTGTGCTTGTGCTGTCTCGAAAATCCGTTTGCAAACCATTGGGCAAACTTCACACGTGCGCGTCGTCGCGCAGGCATGCCAGAATCCTTCATTCACCCTGAGTGCGGTGAGGATTTCTACATTGAGAGTGCCGAAATAATCAACAACATGGTTTGGCAACGCCAGTTTCCAGCACACGTCGCACGAACAAAGACATTGTTCATCCAACATCGTCATCCAGTTCGACCAAACAGTCACCACCTACCAAACCACCCCAACCTAACCCGAAGGCCTCAATTTGCCCTCCATTTCCAGTGGGGGGGGGGGTCGGGGAACCTTGAAACATCACATGGAGCTCTCGTACCCCCCCCAAACTCGAAATTCGGGTCGAATTCGGGTCTTCGGGCTAGTTTGGGGTGGTCTGGTAGGTAGTCAAACAGGCCTGTCGCGCCGCATGCCGAACTCATTCGAACGCCTCTGCGCCCGTGCTGGGGGGGCACGATCCCTGTCAAGCAACCTCCTATAGGCCGCCCGCTCGCGCCCGCCGCGCGCGCGCATGCTGCATTCATCCCCGAACACCCATCATCGACGCGAGGACATCGTCATCGTCGCGGCTACTCGGTCGCCGAACGAAAGGGGGGGGGATTGGGAAAGGGGGGGTTACGAGATTTGCTGCATGCAGCTGGTTTCTGCCCCCGCCGCCGGGCCCATTCCTCGCTACATGGGCGCCTCCCGGCGCCGGGAGGCGCCGGGAGAAGCAGCTAGGAGAGCTGATTCTCAAACCCCCCCTTTGCTATCCCCCCCTTTCGCCCGGCCCGAGTTGCGATCGGCATCGTGGACGTTATTGGCCTTGCCGTCGTCATAGCCACCATCGTCACCATCATCGTCACCACCATCATCATTCCTACCGTTGCCGACGTCGCCAACAGACCGCGCCCGCCCAAGTCACCGACTCGGATTGGCGTGCCCGCCGGGAAGTGCCCACAGGTCAGCGCCACCGCGGCCGCGTCGGTCACGCCAAACTAGCTGGCAGCTGTGCGCGCGAGCATGCGCGGGCTAGCGCGGCCGCAGAGATGCACCAGCGAATGCCAAGCACTCCTCGAAATCGCCGCCGCATGAGTTTTGCAGACCAAGTTGCGGGTGGATGTGTGGGAATTGCGCGCAAAGTGGAGCTGACAGTGCTAAGTTTTTCAGAGCCACCCCACACGGATATAACCAGAGTCATTGCACTGCGCAAGTTGCACAGAGCCGGTTGCACCACGTAGACTGCACAACAGTGGGATCGCAACTCATTTGTTGTACAAAGCAGTTTGCACCGCATAGATTGCCAACTCGGATCGCGCAGCTCAGAGCGCGCCACGTGGATTGCGCACCATCTATCGCAACACGATCGTTGAATCAACTAGATTGCATCACGTAGATTGCACCACATGGGTTGTATATTGTAGATCGCGCAACAGAGCATGAGCATCAACAGATCTTGCGCAACGAAGCTCGCACCGCTCATGTTGCACAACAAACATCACATCACAACAGTTAGACAACACACGTTGCTCAACACAGCTTAAACTTTATATTGCACCACATTGGTCGCATCGCACATACTGCACCGCATATTTTCCACCTTTAGACCCGATAGGCTTACGCCACATCCGGCGACCCCTAGAATTATCCAGGGGCCTGATACTTGGTCACCCTGGCCGTTTCGGATGGTATCCTGGCGGTGTCTGAGTTTTTTTCTTGAGTCATTTTGGAGACCCGCACCCAGAGCTCCCCAGGCGTTTTCAGAAGGACCCGCAGGAGCTTCGGAGAAGTCCACGAGGGCTTCAAGCGACCCCAGAAGGCTTCAAAGACGCATCCAGGATCCACAAAGAGGTTCCAGGATGCCCCACTCGGCCCTCAAGAACTCCCCAGGAGGCGCCCCAGAGATCCCACCAAAGCTGCCGAAGAAACCCCATGAGGCTCCACGAGGCCCCCGGGAGACAGTCCGAAAAGAGGAGGAAGAGGAGGAGGAGGAACGATGGAGGAATCTCATGCGTGGAGCCCGCAGATTCGCTGGAAGGCTATGTTTCGCGATCTGCCGTCGTGCTCCATCGTGCTTGCGCGTTCTGCGAGATATTGTACTGAGTAGTTGTCGGGCAGACTTTCGAGCTGCTTATTGGAAGTTTGTTGGGCGTTCCTGGTCAGAAAGGGGGGAAGAATCTCACACGTTTCGAGACCCCTAGATGTTTGGCGGATTTTTCGCGCGTGGAGGCCGTCTTGAGGGGCCCGGGGCCGCCGCACAAGTTTCCGGTACGGAAGGCTTGTTGGCGGGCCGGGCGAGTTCGGGGTTCGCGTCTGGCAGTGCCGACGAGTAACGCAGGCCCGGTCAGAGCGCACCTAACTTGGACTTCGTCGCGCCCCCCCTTTGTCAGATACAAGGGCTGCATGTTCACGTGACGGATAGCCGCGGAACCTCGCAAGGTGCATGGTCGTTCCCACGCGATGCGAGGGGGGGAAGTGAGAAGGAGAGGGCCTTCTCAGACGGCGGCGGGGCTCCTTAAAGCATGGCTAGGATCGGGATAAATCGCTCCAGAGCGTTCTGGAGCGCTCTCAGAGCGTTCTGGAACGCTCTGGAGCGGCCGCGGCGCCCAGTACATCCTCGACCAAACCCGCCGATTCTCAGAGATTTCGAGTTATCCCGATCCGATTTTGTCCCGATCTTCGCGTCGTTTTACTTCTCCGAGGCCCTGGCGCCCGGGGCAGCCCTTTCAGCAGGCCTGGGGGCGGCCGAGCCATTGTGGGAGGGCCCGCCCCTGCTCGCCTCCCCCCGGGCTCGCCGCCGATCAATCTTGAGCCATAGAGGAGGAGGAGGAGGAGGAGGAGGAGGAGGAGGAGGAGGAGGAGGAGGAGGAGGAGGAGGAGGAGGAGCAGGAGCAGGAGCAGGAGCAGGAGGAGGAGGAGGAGGAGGAGGAGGAGGTCCCCTGCGCCCCTGGTTTCTGGGAAGGGAGCCCCGTGCTCCAAGGCGCAGCAGATGTGGATACGGTAGGTTCGTGCCGTGTCGACTGGCGGAGACCTGGCCATCGGCGTTCCATAATGAACGCCGCGGGCGACCCAGAATCGTTCGCTGTGGAACGACTTGGACGCTTCGGACACGGCCGACTGTTCAAGATTGAACGAGCTCCGCAGTTTATGATGTTCCAACCTACTTTCGCCTCGATCACCAGAAATAATTTCGAGCACCGAAACAAAAGCACCGAAACTGGAGGGTTTTCACGTGTCGGGCCCTGGGAGGCACTCGTCCGATCTTGTTTCGACCCTCTCTCGACACTTTTCCGGGTGCTCGAAATGATTCCTGGGGTGTGGTCCTTCATAGCACGATGGGGGCAACATAACCCGCGGTGGCAGAGACCAGCGCCGTTAAGGCGGCACGTCGCGAACCCGACGTGCAAAGCTCTCCTGCAGCGCCGCGTGGCGCCGGGACTCCTTCTCCCGAGGCCTCCGCTGGCCGGAGCTCCCCCCGGCCAGGACCAGGAGAAGGACGAGGAGGAGGAGGAGGATGAGGAGGAAGAGGGAAGGGAGGAGCGGGAAGGAAGGGAGGAGGAGGCAGGAGGAGGAGGAGGAGGCGGAGGATGAGGATGAGGAGGAGGAGGAGGAGGAGGAGGTGGCCCCTCCCCCCCGAGGGACCGGGGCCGGCGCCGGCCTGGGCGGAAGTGGTCCCCGGAGCAGCGCAGGCGGGGCGGCGGGGCACGTCAGCGGAGGCCAAGCGGCGGCGAGCGAGGGGTTCCGCCTCCTCCTCCTCCTCCTCCTCCTCCGTCTCCCCTCCCTCCTCCTCCTCCTCCTCCTCTCCTCCTCCACCTCCCTCCTCCTCTCTCCCTCCTCCTCCTCCTCCCTTCTCCTCCTCCTCCTCCTCCTCCTCCTCCCTCCTCCTCCTCCTCCCCTCCTCCCTCCTCCCTCCTCCTCCTCCCTCCTCCCTCCTCTTCCTCCTCCTTCCTCCTCCTTCCTCCTCCCTCCTCATTCTTCCCCTCCCCCTCCTTCTCTTCTCCTCCCTCCTTCTCATCCTCCGCCTCCTCGCCCTCCTCCTCCTCGCCCTTCCCTCCCCGGGTCGCCTGTGGCTCCCCGGGGAAACCGTCCAGAGGAAGGCAAGTCAGAAGGCTCGGGAGTCTCCTGGCATTCTCAGTAGTTTTGTAGCATGACCCGAAGGCACAGAGGCTTTCTCTGCGAAGCCCCGCCGCCTTCTGAGAAGGCCTTCTCCTCCTCTATTCCCCCCCCTCGCTCGCCGCTGGGCAAAGCCCATACAGAGTAAGTCCATACGCAATGCTTGCTTTCCGTATGGACTTGCTTAGACGGCCGAGCATCAATCGATGCATTTCAGGTGGGGTCCGAGTAGGTGGGGTCGGAGGTTCGCGCCGCATCGCCGACGCATCGTGTACACATTGCTAATGCATCGTCGATGCTTCGGTGACGTTTGCGGTGCATTTACGACGTTGGTGTGGGGCCAGTCGGGCTTCACGTCGAGCCACACCGCCGAGGCATGGGCGATGCAGCACGATCCTCCGACCCATGACTCGGACCCCAGCTATGAGGCCTCTAATCAAGCAGTGGCCAAATTTGCTGATCTGCCTAGCGACTACCAAACATTTTGTGGTTGGACGACGCTTCCTTAGAACAGCTCTGGCACGAGCTGTTTTGTTTTAGCGTCAACCCCTCGACCTTGTGTTGAAATAACTCTGCTTATGTCCTTAGAACATTATTATGTCTTAGAAACCTGTCGTGGTAGAGCAGTAGGAATACCCAGACAGTCGGTCCCTGCTCAAGTCTATCTAGGCCGCCCAGGTGGGGCCCGAGCAGATGGGGTCGAAGGATCTCGCCGCATTGCCGATGCATCGGCGAGGCGCGGCTCGCTGTGGAGCCCGATGCTCTCCATGCCGACGTCGCCGCTGCACCGCCGACGTCGCCGATGCGTCGGTGATGCGGCCCGATCCTCCAACGGGGGAAACGTAAGACTCGAGTAAGCCTGAATTCGGGGTTTGCCGACCTTCTTTTCGACGAGCGCCTCCTGGATTTTGACGGCCCAGTCTTCGTGGGATGTTTGCAGCGGGACTTCGCGTCAAATTTCAGCCGAGGTCTCAGTCATCTTGAGGACGGCCCCGCCAGGCCAACCCGAGTCGCCCGTACCCGAGTCTTACGCCTCCCCGATCCAGCCACATCTGCGGGGACTCCTCCTCCTCCTCCTCCTCCTCCTCCTCCTCCTCCTCCTCCTCCTCCTCCTCCTCCTCCTCCTCCTCCTCCTCCCCCATCCATAGGAGGCCTCTCTCGAGAGCCGCAGCGGACCGGCGGCGCCGCCAGGCGAGAACTTCAACACCGCGTGCCCCGACTCGGAGGAGTTCGACTGCGTGGCAGGCGCACGGGCCGCGGCCCCCCGGGTGTTCTCCCCGGCCCGGCCCCGTCGCTCGGGGGCGGAACAGAGGGGGGTGATGACCAGGGGGGGGTGGATATCATGGCGTGGACCATGATATTTCCCCAGATCTCATGGCGCCTCTTCTTGTTTCATTACGTGCCTCGGCCCCCCCAGGGGCCGCGCACAAGCCGCCGGCCATGATGTGCCCCCCCCCCCCCCCCCCTCTTGGACGTCCCCCTCTTGGCCGCTCCCGAGTTGCGCGCTGTTCGAGCAGGGAATAGACGACATCGATGCACCCAAACTCGAAAGTTCCGTCGAATCTTCGGAGGAACCAGAACGAAAAACGTAGATTATATGCGTTTGTGCGAGAACAGTGTGTTTTTTTTGTTTTTTTTTCCACCGATGCGACGAACAAAAGCCAATGTTTGGGGTGATGCCATGTTGCAGTCGATCCCCTCCTCGAACGGCACCGCCTGGGGAGGCGATGGACCTCGTGGGCGATGGACATTCGGGAGGGAAGAGAAGACACAGACACAATTCATCGGCGATTCCCCAAAACAGATGGGAAAATCTGGGAAGTGGGTACAGTCAACGCGCATAGTAAGGACAAACGACTTTTTCAAGGGTACCCTTGGGTCCTTGCCTGCTTCAGCCTCTGCGGCCCGTCCCTAGCAATTTTCGCAGGCCAGAATACTTCAACTTCGGCCTCCAAGGGTCTTGCGTCCTTGCCACGCGTCCTTACTATACGTTTTCACTGTAAGGGGAAAGACCCAGAGGATTGGGGGAACAGCTGGAGAACCCTGTGACCTGTGTCTACTCATATCTGTGACGGTAACACCGCGCCGCTCACCCTCCGGGACTTCGCCTCCGGCCCCCGTCCAAGGTGCACCTTTTCCTGTGCCGCCTGCACTCGGCGCCCTCGGGCCGCCTGAGGCCCCGCCCGCCTGCGCCCTGTCTCCCCAATTGGTGCCTTGCGCGGCCCGCCTAGCTCTTAACCGGAAGAGGCTCGCTCTCGACCCGCAGACCATCGGGGGCTGGACAGAACCCCCCACAGTGACACGTCGATTTTACTGAATTGTCCGTTTTCGGTTCTCGAGAGGGCGCCGTGGCCGTCATTTTCCAGGCTTGCGCCCGCCAGGTTTGGAGCTCAGGTCGTGTTCACGAAACCAAGTTTCGCTAAAGGCGGGTCTGTCCATCCCCGCGGACCAAAAAGTGTCTGCTCCTCTGCGTGTCCCGGGGCCCCTTCACACATGCCCGCCGCGGCCTCGCGGGCCGGGCGCGCCCGGGCCGCGCCCGGGCAGCGGGCCTCCGGGGGCGTGCTGCCTGGCGCGCCCGCTGCCCCGGGCGCGCGAGCTCGCCGCGCGACCCGCGGGATCTCCCGGAGCCCGGGCCGCGAGGGCTATTTTTCTCGGTCCCAGCCCTCTCAAGGAGGGGGCGGAAAAGAGGCGGGTGATGACCAGGGGGGGGGGTGGATATCATGGCGGGGGCCACGATTTTTCCCTAGATTTCATGGCGCCTCTTCTTATTTCATCACGTCCCTGGGCCCCCCGCTGGGCCGCGCACGTGCCGCCGGTCATGATTTGCACCCCCCCCTCCTGGACACCCCCCTCTTGGTCGCTCCCGATATAGGTGGGGTATCAGACCCAAGAGAGTAGGGGAAAGTATGGGAAGTGGGGGGGGGGAGACAAAAACCCAGAAATATGGGGACATGTGTCAAGCAGTGGCGAAGCGTCCTGGCTCGCCTATCGCCCTACCAGACAATATTCTAACACTCTGTTGTGGTTTCACGAAATGTTCTTAGGACATTTCTGGCGGAGTCTGTTTTGTTTTAACACATCGGGTTAATGTTCTAAGAACGCTGTTTTTGTTATTCGAACATGTTTGGGTTCTAAGAACATTTCGTGGTAGGGCTATAGGAATGCCAGGACGGTCGGACCCTGCTCGAATATGGGGATTATTGTTGGCAGTGTCAATTTATTTGTATGTCCCAAGGCCCCTTCATTCGGGCCTGTTCTTCTACGGGGGGGATGCTCAAAAATAGTCAGAGCATAGTTAGTCTGGGGACGATGTTTCGTTTGCTTTTGAGCATGCTTGAGCATGGTTTGGCTATGTCTGATCTGTCGTCCAAGATCCGCCTGTAGGATGCGGACACGCCCGCCGCTCGCGATGGCCCCAGGATCGAGAATCGCGGGCGGCCTCGGCCCCGCAGATCCCCCAGACCCCGGAAGCCGCAGCTGCCGGAAAGTCCACCGCGCCGTGGTTTTGGTCGCGGTCGCCGCGCCCCGCGGCCGCTAACGCGCGGTGGCCGCGACCCGCCCGCCGCGCCTGGGCCCGCCGGCGCTGTCGCGCGGTGCTTCCCTGCGCAGCGCCAGGAGGTCTGAGGTGTCGCCGGGCGGCCGGGGCAGAGGGGGCCCGGCCGACCCGGGCGTTCTGCGGAAGCTCGCCGGCCACCAATCCACCCCAGCCCAACCCGAAGGCTTCCATTTGCCCTCCATCTCCAGTGGGGGGGGGGGGGATCGGGGAGCATCGCAAAGACACACGTGTTCCCCGCGCCCCCCCCCAACCCGAAGTTCGGGTCACATTCGTGTCTTTGGGTTGGGTTGGGGTGGTCTGGCAGGTAGTCCGAAACGGCGCCGGACAGTCTCGCGTCGCGACAACAAAAAGGCAGGGCGCGGAGCTTCCCGCGGGAGTTCCGGCCACTGGGGACCCTCACGCCAGGCCCCGGGAGCGGCAGAAGGGACTCGGGATGAGAGAGCGGTCCGCGCATGGAGGAAGGTCAGGAGCGTCAAAAGCGACGCAGGATGAGAGCGTTCCGCGCATGGAGAAGAGCAGGAGCGTCAAAAGCGACTCAGGATGAGAACGGGTCGGGGCTCCCTGGGGCCGCGCATGGAGAGAGTCAGGGCGTCGCACATGTCTGGGGGCGCCAGGAGGGGGGAGTGAGACAGCCCTCGGCTCCCTCCGCCGAATGCGAGGTCACTTGTGGAGCCGTGAGGGCTGGCCTTTCGCGGGCGAGTTCCAGCCCCCAAGTCCTTGATCGGGCCGGACGAAAGGGGGGAATTGGGAAAGGGGGGGGGTACAACATCTGCTGCATGCAGCTGGTTTCGGCCTCACCGAGGGGCCGCCTCCGGCGCCGGGAGGCGCCGGGAAAATCAGCTACGTGAGCTGATTCTCAAACACCACCTGTGCTATCCCCCCTTTCGCCCGACCCGACTTGAGGTCCCCTCCCCAACAAGAATACTGGCCCCTCGGAAAGGGTGGAGAAGTCGGGGGTACATGATCCAGGTCTGTGCCCTTCCCCCCCCACCAACATGCTGATGGCATCGGGTTCCCCCCCCCCGCGATGGGTCCCCTCCCTGTGGACGTGGTGCGGTGCTGTGAGTGTGGCGTGTGTGGCCTGGTACTGTGGTGCTTCAGGAGAGCTCCAGAGGCCGTCGTCGTCTCCGCCGCCGCCGTCGTCGTCGTCGAATGGCTCCAGAGACGGGCGGCGGCGCCGCCGCCGCCGTCGCCGTCGTCGTCATCGTCGTCGTCATGGTCGTCGTCGTCGTCGACGTCGTCGTCGTCGTCTCCGTCGTCGTCGTCGTCGTCGTCGTCGTTGTAGTCGCCGTCGCCGTCGCCGTCGTCGTCGCCGTCGTCGATGTCGACGTCGACGTCGCCGTCGTCGCCGTCATCGCCGTCGCCATCGCCGTCGTCGTCGTCGTCGTCGTCGTCGTCGTCGTCGTCGTCACCGTCGCTGTCGCCGTCGTTGCCGTCGCCAGCGTCGTCGTCGTGGCCACCCCATCCCATGTGGGTGGCGGTGGGGGGCGTGGAGTCCTGGGACCCATCCCTCGACCCGGGATCATACATCCCCAGTAGACGCACTCCAGGATAGACGCCACCCATCGAATATTAGGTTGGGCCTCCTTTACAGGGGGGACATTCAAAATAGTTAAATAGTCTGGGGACTCTTTTTTTGACTATTTTTGCTCATGTGGGGGACACGCCTGACTTAATTCGAATATCGCATATCCCTGACTTGGGCCCAATCTCTGGGTCCGGTCGAGCTCTCCCGGCGTCGGGGGTGTGGGTCGACATGCCCCCCGTCGGAGGCCGCCCAGAGAGGGTCCGAGGAGGTGGGTTCGGAGGGTCGCGCCACATCACCGACGCATCGGCGACTGTAGAGTCCGATGTGTTCCACGCCGACGGCGCGGATGCGTCGCCGACGTCGCGGCGACGCACCGGCGAAGCGGCGCGACCCTCCGATCCCATCCGCTCGGTTCCCGCTGGGGAGGCCTCCGAGCGTCCCAGAAGAAGCCGCATGCCATCGAATTGTTACTTACGTATACGTATGTGTTGGATACGTGGCACTGGAGTTGTTTTTGCGCCCGCGACCTAGGTTGCAGCGCAAACGCTAGCCGGAGAGCTGCAATATTGAGTTGGCATGGTGACCCAGTCCTCCTGCTCTTCAGACGCGGTCGGGTCACGTCATAGTCATTGCAGGGAGCCTTCTTTCAAACTTGATAGGTGTTGTGCCCCACCATTATGGAACGAACTGAGGACATGCCGCCCAGCTTGGCTGGAAAGGCCGGAAAGCAATGAGTGAGAAGCATGATTATTCGGATCTCGTTTTTGCCCGAGGCGCGCAACACTGAGATGTCTTGAGCGTTTGTGTCACACTGGTCCGAACAGTGATCCGAGACAGTCCAGTTCGATTCGGAATTGCGGGAGGTTCGAAATTCCAAGGTAATCGACGACATGAGGGCGAAATTCGAAAAGACCTAGGCGGGAACAGACAACTATGGAGCGATCAATGTTTGGACAAGCTTGGTGCTAGTAGAAGGGCTTCGAGTTGAGTCTCGCTAGCCTGATAACAGCCACTGCGGCACAGGAGACAGGTGACGTCAAAGCCATCGCCCGCAAGATCTGAACGTGCGGCCGCGGCGAATGTTGCCAGGGCGAAGCTTGGTTTCCGCACTTTCGCTGTCATGGTGGTGGCAGGGGCCATTCGTGATCGGAGTCCTGACAG